TGCCCCCCTCCCGCCTCTGCCCGCCCGCCCCGCAGGCCCTGGGCCTCCCGCCTGCGCGCTCGTCGTCGTCCGCCTGCTCCGGGGAGACGCGGGACTCGAGTGTAAGCCGGAACTCGGGCAGCTGGAGCTCGGGCCTGCCGGCGTTCTCTGAGGAGCACGTCCTGGATTTGTCAGCCACGCGCAGAGGGGGGTGGGGGGAGGGGGGAGGGCTTCTTAGAAGCACCCCTGCTTCTCAGAAGGCGCGGGCCTTATCTGTAGATGTAAGGCCGGCGCCTTCTAAGAAGCAGCCTGCTTCTAAGAAGCCCTCCCCCCTCTCCCCACCCCCTTGTGCGCGCCGCCAAATTTGGACGGTCCGGCTTTCGTGTGGGATGTTTGAAGCGGGCGTTCGGGTCAGATTTCAGAGGGGGTCTCGTTCTTATCATGATGGCCCCGTCAGGCCAGCCCGAGTCCCCCCTACCCGAGTCTTGCGTCTCCCGGGCTCCCCTCCCCCCCCCCTTCGCCGGGCAGCAGCCTGCCCAGGAGCAGCGTGGAGCTTCTCCGGACGAGACGTACGTCGGGCCCTCCCACGCGGACCTCTCAGATCAGCGCTGCACCCCCCCCTTGCCAGAGGCGGCGCCTGATGGCGCTTCTGGCGGGGTCCAGCGCCGCTCCAAGAAATCCGACGTCTTGATTTCTTTCTGTACTGGGCCCCCCAGACGTCCCGACCCTTTCCCCGGGTCGGGCGCAGAGAACCATGCACATGCACCGATCCTGACAACGCCCATCCTTGACCCAGGATCGGTGCATATGCCTTCCTGGCCAAGGTGGGCTACCCGCCAAAACACCAACGGCACAGGATTTTGTGCCGTTGGTGTTTTGGCGGGTAGCCCCCTTTGAGGGGCAGCGGATCTTCCTCTCGTTCAATACGTCGTGCTTCTTTTTTGCTGTTGTTTGAAGGCCCATTGGAACACTCTGCACGCGGGCACGTGTGGGTTAAAGGCTTCCTTTCGCTGCTCCGTTTCACGCTGTTGCGCAGCCTTGCGGCGTTGCGTTGGGGGATGAAACAAAATAGGCCTTCCTGGCCAAGGTAAGAGGGCGTATGCACCGATCCTGGGCTCAGGGTTGGGCCTGGCCAGAATCGGTGTATGTGCATAGTTCTCTTTCCTCTGCCCGGTGCTGGCTTTTCATGGCATCGGGTCACCAGCGGCACCAGGGTTGTCTGCACTCTCCCTGGGCCCCTTTTTTTTGACGGCCCCTGGGCCCAGGGAGGCCCCCCCAGAAGCCCACCACTGCTCAAACCTGTCGCCGTTTTTTTTTTTTTTTTTTTTTTTTTTGTGTCAGGGCGCCAGCAGGACGAGAGGAGGCCTTTCCCAGGCCTCCTGCGACATGTTTTTTTCGATCCGCGACCTCAGAGCTCCCGACCCCTTCCGCGGGGGCAGCTCTGCCTCTCGGCTCTGGTCCTGAGGGCCCCCGGGCCCGAAGGCGGTCCCCTGGGGTCCGAGATCGATGAAGAGCCGACGGTATGACTTGGCATCGCTCGGACGTGTGCATTTTTTCTCGGCGAGAACCATCGAGGACCATCCTGGACCATCGAGCAAACAGAACACGCACGAAACCGAAAAATGCACGGGAAATGGACGTCCGAGCGACGGCAAGATGAGGTTTCCAGTGCGCGGCCTCGGAGGCCCCGATCCCTTCTTGAAGTTTCGTGAAGGTCCGAGGGCCCGATCGCAGCTGCCCGCAGGCCGACCTCGAAGAGATGCGCCGGGGCCGGCACCACGTCGTCGGAGGTCTGGGTGTGCGCCCTCCGATCGGCGACCGACACTCGATCCATACCCCTGGTGCTGCACCACGCCCTGGGCGCCAGGAGCAGCAGGGTATGGACAGAGAGCGTGGCCTCGGAGACCCGTCCATGCGCATGCGCTCTCTCCGACGCCTTGTCCTCTTCCTCCTTCTCCTCCTCCTCCTCCTCCTCCTCCTCCGCCTCCTCCTCCTCCCTCTCCCTCTCTACAATTACTCAATATGAAGACTACTCTCCCTCTTCCCCTGATGACGTGCTGGGAGTGTTCCCCCCCCCCCCCCCCACCCCGCGTCTTGTTGTTTTTACACACTAGTTACCCAGAGTTGTTTTCGCTTGCATTTTTTTGAAAATGCTGCTCTCGCTGAGGCGCCGGCCTCATTTTCGGGCCGCGCTCGTTCCGAATCGTGCTCCCGCTGCAGCGCTGGCCTCATTTCCGTGCTTCCGCTCGTTCCGAATCGTGCTCCCGCTGCAGCGCTGGCCTCATTTCCGCGCTTCCGCTTGTTTCGACTCGTGCTCCCGCTGCAGCGCTGGCGTCATTTCCCGTCCCATGCCACGGCACGCAATGCAATGCTAGGTTGATACTACGCTTTGCGGTGCTCTTCTACGCCATGCCACGCCGTGCTCTACAATGCATCACGTACCCTTTCGGGATCATTGCCCTGCTCGACGTCCGACTGTGCGAGTAGAGAGGGGATCTGCGCCATGGTATATGTTTCGGGAGGGTATGATGCAGAATTTGACGCGAGCGCAACCTAGCTTGCCCACTCCCCGTCCTCCATCCACCTCCTCTCCTCCTCCTCCTCCACCTCCTCCTCCACCCCCTCCTCCTCCTCCACCCCTCCACATTATATTCCAATATGCAAAAAACTACTCTCCCTCCTTCCCTATGACGTCTGGGAGTGTTCGCCCCCCCCCCCCCCCCCGTGTCTTGTTTTTTACACAGGTTTCCCGGGAGTTGGGTTTTCGCTTGCATTTTTGTTCACAATACTGCTCTCGCTGAGGCGCCGGCCTCATTTTCGGGCCCTGCTCGTTCCGAATCGTGCTCCCGCTGCAGCGCTGGCCTCATTTCCGCGCTTCCGCTCGTTTCGAATCGTGCTCCCGCTGCAGCGCTGGCCTCATTTCCGCGATTCCGCTTGTTTCGACTCGTGCTCCCGCTGCAGCGCTGGCGTCATTTCCCGTGCCATGCCACGGCGTGCAATGCAATGCTAGGTTGATACTACGCTTTGCGGTGCTCTTCTACGCCATGCCATGCCGTGCTCTACAATGCATCGCGTACCCTTTCGGGATCATTGCCCTGCTCGACATCCGACTGTGCGAGTAGAGAGGGGATCTACGCCATGGTAAGGGCTGGGAGGGAGGGGTAGGATGTCAGATATGACGCGAGCGCACCTAGCTTGTCCCCCCCCTCCTCCTCCTTCTCCTCCTCCTCCTCCTCCTCCTCCGTCCACCCTCCTCTCCTCCTCCTCCTTCCTCCTCCTCCTCCTCCTCCCCCTCCTCCCCCTCCTCCTCCTTCCCCTCCCCCTCCCCTCCTCCTCTCCACCTCCTCCTCCTCCTCCTCCTCCTCCTCACACCTCCTCCCTCCTCCGTCCTCCTCCGCTCCTCCTCCTCCTCCTCCTCGCTCTCCTCTCCTCCTCCTCCTCCTCCTCCTCCTCCATTCCTTATCCTTATACTTAACTTATCCCTGTCGCACTCCGAGGCAAGTTTTTTGGGCGGGCCGGCCGGGCGTTTCGCCTGAGCCTTCCTCACTATCTACGACTCTGAAGCTGAAGCGTTGGCAACGGTTTCACAGATGGACGGCGGGTCGTTTTCAAAATGTGGCTCTCGCCTTAGCGCCGCGCGCATTCGTTTTTTGTTTTGTTTTGCTTGTTTTTAATATATGAATGCAAGAGCTTCACGGATGGATGATCGCCCGTTTTCAAACTGTGGCTCTCGCCTTAGCGCCGCGCACAGTCGCTGTTCAAACATTGCAACACCTTCACGGATTGAGGATCCACCCGTTTTCAAAATATGGCTCTCGCCTTAGCCTCGCGCACATTCGTTTTTTTCCTTCCCCACAAAATGTGCCAGAGCTTTGCGGATTGAGGATCACCCGTTTTCAAAGTGTGGTTCTCGCAGTAGCGCCGCGCACATTCGTTTGTAAACTTTGCAAGAGGTGCACGGCTTCCTACGATAAGCGTACCAGAAAAGGTGTTTTGGAAGGATTCCGGATTTTGCGGGTGCAGCAGTTCCGTTGATTCGCGGTGTTGAAATCCCAAGAATGGCGTTTCGGCGCGATCCAGGATCGGTAAGACGCAACAGTCAGGGTGATCCGTGGCGTTGGAATCCCGAGACCACTGTTTCGGTATGCTTCCGGGTCTTCAAACGAGTTTCTTCCAACGAGGCATATCCCTCAATGTAGAACAAGTTGCAGGTGCCTATGAAGAGGGAGCTTGGAGGGAGGGTGTATTCCACCATCGTTGATGGCTCTTGGGTTTACACTGGTACTCCTCCTCCTCCGCCTCCTCCTCCTCCTCTTCCTCCCCCTCCCCGTCCTCCTCCTCCTCCTCCTCCTCCTCCTCCTCCTCCCTCCCTCCCTCCCTCCCTCCTCCTCCTCCGCCTCCTCCGCCTCCTCCTCCTCCTCCTCCTCCTCCTCCTCCTCCTCCTCCTCCTCCTCCTAAGAGGGTCTGGACTTTTTGTCCGCGTCCCCGCCATGGCTCCCCGTGGAGTCGGGACGTGAGCGGGCGCATGGGTCGAGCATCGATGGCCTGTCCGAAGGCGGGTTCCTGCGCCTGCAGAGCCTCCCCCGGGGGGTTGTAGAGGTGCCCCTGGCCCAAGGCGCCTCAGCTTTGCGCTTCATTCTGGAGCCCCTGGGGCCCTTTGTCGTCGGCGAGCGAGGGAGGGAAGCGAGAAGGAGAAGGCCTTCTTAGACGGCTCGGAGGTCCCCTGGCCTTCAGAGGAGTTTTCGAAGCCTTCCCCGAAGACAAACAAAAAGCTTCTCAGAAGGCGCGAGGGCTTCTGCGAAGTCCCGCCGCCCTCCACCCTCCTCCTTCGCCGCCGACTCTGGGCCTCGTGAGGGCTGCTCTGGAGGCCGCGAGGGCCTCCCTGGAACTCCTGGGGGCTTCTCTGGCAGCACCCCGACCCCCCTGCCGCCTGCGGGGCCCAGGCGGCCGAGCAGCAGCGCCGGGAGCGCGACGCCGCGGCCGCAGCCGCCGTGCTGAGCGCCGGCGTGGAGCTGGGGGCCATGGACGGTCCGACCCTGCCGCATGGGGTCAGGAGAGTATGCAAACATAGAACATAGGCTGGGGTTTTTTTTTTTTTTTTTTTTTTTTTTTTTTTTTTTTTTTTTGTTTCTTTATATACATATAGATATACAAAATATCAAAGTGCGACCCTACCTAGGAGTTGGAGCCCCTAGGAAAGCAGCATTAGTAGTAACAGTAAAGCTAAGCTAACGCTAAGCTAAAGCTAGGCTAAAGCTAAGCTAACGCTAAGCTAAAGCTAAGCTACAGCTAAGCTAAAGCTAAGCTAAAGCTAAGCTGAAGCTAAGCTGAAGCTAAGCTTAAGCTAAGGCTAAGCTAAAGCTAAGCTAAAGCTGAGCTGAAGCTAAGCTGAAACTAAGCTGAAGCTAAGCTAAAGCTAAGCTGAAACTAAGCTAAAGCTGAGGTAAAGCTAAGCTAGATCTAAGCTAAATCTAAGCTAACGTTAAGCTAACACTAAGCTAAAGTTAAGCTAAAGCTAAGCTAACACTAAGCTAAGCTAAGCTAAGCTAATCTAATATGAGATAAACCAAGCTAAGCTAAGCTAAGCTAAGTTCGGCTAGGCTAGGCACAGCTAAGCTAGGCTAAGCTAAGCTAAGCTAAGCTAAGTTAGGCTAGGCTAGGCAACGCTAAGCTAAGCTAAGCTAAGCTAAGCTGATATAAGCTAAGCTAAGCTAAGCTAAGCTAAACTAAGCTAAACTAAGCTAAGCTAAGCTAAGCTAAGCGGGGCGGATCCTGCAGGGGCGGATCCTTTGGGAACCGCGGGGCGGATGCTGGGGGAACCGCCCGGGGCGATTTACACTGCCCGGCCCTTTAAGCTCATGGAGTAAGAACCCTTCTAGGCAGAGCCTAGGTAGGGAATAAGCAGCAACACATTTAAGTGTTTTGTTTTTGATGACAGTTTTGTTATCAATCTGGAATAATTTTTTAACGTTTCTTCCAAAGCCCGCCTCTAAGAGGACCTGCCCGACCTAAGCCTGGGGGGGGGAGGATGTGCGGTCGGGAGCTCTTGGGGCAGCGTGTCGCTCTCCGCCGGTTCTGCCACCGCGCTGCGGCGCGGCACGCGCGGCACGCGGTCCACTGCGCGGTGCCAACGACGTCCACGCCCCGAGCCTCCTCCCTCCCTCCTCCTCCTCCTCCTCCTCCTCCTCCTCCTGCTCTTCCTCCTCCTGCTCTTCCTCCTCCTTCTCCTCCTCCTCCTCCTCCTGCTCTTCCTCCTCCTTCTCCTCCTCCTCCACCTATTCCTCCTCCTCCTCCTCCTCCTTCTCCTCCTCCTGCTCTTCCTCCTCCTGCTCTTCCTCCTCCTCTCCTCCTCCTCATGCTCTTCCTCCTTCCTCCTCCTCCCCTCTTCCTCCTCCTCCTCCTCCTCCTCCTCCTCCTCCTCCTCCTCCTCCTCCTCCTCCTCCTCCTCCTCCTCCTCCCCCTCCTCCCCCCGCCCCGCGGAGCGGAGCGACACGCATCTCGCTCGCAGGGCACAGCGTGTCGCCGGGGCCGCCGCGGCGTCGCGCTAAGCAAAAGTTCCCGACCGCAGGCTAGGGGGGGGGACGCATCGACCTCGAATCGCCTATGGATCGCTGCTCGCCCATACGGGGCCCGCTAGGCCCACGCCGCCCAGGAGCGTTCGGATTCGCTCTCGGGGGCCTATCGCCGATCTGTCCGCGATGTATCGCCGATGCCAGGTCGTCGTTTCACCCCTGAGCTGGCCGCCCCCGAACGTTGCCCCTCACCCGATCCCAGATCTCCGACGATATGATTTTTCAATCTGGGCGTTTTGCCGAGATTTTAGCCCTCGGGGGCCACTTTCGGGCCCCAGGACGATCAAGCATGAATCCAGGACCAAAAACTCCCCTTGGAAAGTGGTCGAGACCTTTCTAGGGACCGCGGATAGAACAAACCAACCCATCGGATGTCTGGGTGGGGTACGGCCCAGCTGTCGCGCCGCCGATTCTTGCCCACCACGCTTCGGCGCGGCACGCTGGCCATTCCATACCCTAGATCTGCGAGGTATTGGCGTGACCAAAAAAAGCCGATAGGTATCATTGCGGCCTGGTTTCGTTTGCCTCTGTTGCCAGAACATCGTGCAACGTGTTGCCCACGCGTTCAGCCACGTTCCCCCTTTCGCGGTCGGAGTCGGAAGACACGTGTTGCGTGCATCAATGTGCGCGCTCTTCATGCGAGGATCCGACCAGGGATTGGAACGTGGCGCCGCGTAGCAGTCCCCAGGCGTCCATGCCCCGAGCCTTTCCCAGCCTCCCGCAGCGCAGGGGCTATCGCGATGGCCCTGCCGGCCGCCCCTCCGTTATGGCTCGTAAGCTCGCGTCGGACGAGCCCTCCATGCAGCCATGCTCGCGCCGTGACAGACATATGCCTTTGAAGGCTTGGGGCCGTTTTCGGCCGTCGGGGGCCCTCGCTGGGCCCGTGGCTGTTGCAGAACAGTTCAGGATGAAGAACCGTCCGGATCGCTCTCAGAGCGTTCGAGAATGCTGTGAGGAGGTCGCGGCGCCCGAGACATCCTCCAAAGCCGCCGGATCACAGAGATACTCGATCCATCCTCACCCGATGTTGTGCTCGTCCTGGCTTCACCTTAGGCGTGGGGTCCCTGCAGGGAAGCGGGTCCTGAGGCTGTGCGCCGTGTGTCGGCCTCGGGAAGAGGTCTAGGTTCCGGGCTTTTGTCCATCCAGGCGCCTGCCCTCGATTCCGACCTCCGCGGCCCACCGCCGGGTCCCCGGGGCTGTCAGTAGCGGGCCCAAGGGCGAGGGTCGGGACTTGCTGGGGCCACGCACCGAAAAAAACCAGATCGCCGGACGTTTGGGGTTGCATGTGGGCCCTCCCAGATCGATTCATGTTCGACTCAGCTTCGACTCAAGTTCGGCTCTAGTTCGACCCTAGCTCGACGCAAGTTCGACGACTCAAGTTCGGCTCATTCGACTCCTAGGTCGGCTCAAGTCGACGGGCGTTCGACGCAGCATCGACTCATGAATGGAGCGAGTGGCTCCAGGAAGGTCCCCAGAATGGGTCTGGGGCTGGCTATAGTCATCCCGTGAGTGCTTTTTTCTCGGCTCCAGGGGCCGAAGAGACGCAGAGCCACCTGCCGTCGTTTTGTTGTTGTTGTTGTTGTTGTTGTTGTTGTTGTTGTTGTTGTTGTTGTTGTTGTTGTTGTGGTTGTGGTTGTGGTTGTGGTTGTGGTTGTGGTTGTTGTTGTTGTTGTTGTTGTGGTTGTTGTGGTTGTTGTGGTTGTTGTTGTCGTTGTTGTCGTTGTTGTGGTTGTTGTTGTTGTTGTTGTTGTTGTTGTGGTTGTTGTGGTTGTGGTTGTGGTTGTTGTTGTTGTTGTTGTTGTTTGTTGTTGTTGTTGTTGTTGTTGTTGTTGTTGTTGTTGTTGTTGTTGTTGAGCTTTCATATCTGAAGAATAAATTATTGATCCCTCCCACTGGTGCATACTGTTTTTCTCAATCAAAGTGTGCCCCTCGACGCTCGCACCTTGTTTTTTGACAGGGGAAGTCTTCATGCTTTAACTGGGCCCCTGGCCCCCGGGTTACAACAACAACGGCTCCCGCCTGAGACTTCCTTACAATTTAGCCATGACCCCCGCTCCCGCCCGAGACTTCCTCGCGTTTTATTCAGGCATTGCGCTCTCGCTTGGGACTCCCGTACAACTTATTCAGGAATCGCTCTCCCGGCGGTCTGGAGTCGCGCTCTCGTTGGAGACTTGCTTGCAACTTACTGAAGAATGGCCTTGCGTTGGAATTTCTTGCAATTTGCCCAAGCGCCGCGCTCCCGACACCCAGGCACCCAGGAGTCGCGCCCGTTGTGGCCCCATGTGCATGCCCTTCGTGGCCCCGCTGTCGCCATTTGTGTCCCCCTCACTGTCCTACGTGGCCCAGTTGCTACCCTCAGTGGCCCCATAGTTGCCTTCTGTGGCCCCGCATTATCTGCACTTCGTGGCCCCCGCTCGTTCGCGCTCTTCGTGGCCCCATACGCATTCCCTTCGTGTCCCCGCTGTCGCCCTTCGTGGCCTACTTCGTGCCCTTCGTGGCCCTGCTGTCGTTCTCTCTCGCTCTCGCTTTCGCTCGTCGTCGCGTCGTCGTCGTCGTCGCCGTCGTCTTCGACGTCGTCGTCGTCGTCGTCGTCGTCGTCGTCGTCGTCGTGGTCGGTCCCCTGTCCGTCCCTCTTGGGGTCGGGTCGACGGTCCGCGGCCGCCCCGCCGATCAGCGCTGCCGCTGGCCAGGCCGACGGTCCGCGGCCGCCCCGCCGCTTGCCGGGGCCCGGCCTGCAGGGAAGAAAGGTATACCCCCCAAAAGGGGTTCGATCGAAGACGAAGAGGGCGGGTATCGAGGGTTTGGGAAATACGCGTTATTGGACACTCGAGCATATAAGGGCTAACAGTCTTAAACTTATTATTATTGTTGTTGTTGTGGTTGTTGTGGTTGTTGTGGTTGTTGTGCTTGTCGTGGTTGGTGTGGTTGTTGTTAGTGTTGTCGTTGTTGTTGTGATTGTTGTTGTCGTTGTTGTTGTACTTGTTGCTGTTGTCGTCGTCGTTGTTGTTGTACTTGTGGTTGATGATGTTGCTGTTGTTGCTGCTGCTGCCGCTGCTGCTGCTGATGCGGTTGTTGTTGTTGTTGTTGTTGTTGTTGTTGTTGTTGTCGTTGTCGTTGTCGTTGTCGTTGTCGTTGTCGTCGTTGTCGTTGTCGTTGTCGTCGTTGTCGTTGTCGTCGTTGTCGTCGTTGTTGTTGTTGTTGTTGTTGTTGTTGTTGTGGTTGTTGTTGTTTCCCGCCGCCCGCAGGGGCGTGAAGAGAGCCGCGGCTCGCGCAGCGCACCGCGGCGCCCGGGTCGGAGCGGTTACCCTTCACCGATGGGGGGCGGCGCGGGGGCGCGGTGGCGCGGGGATCATGGTCTTCGAGGCTAAAAGAACCCCGGGCCCTAATAGCACGATGAAGACGCGGACTCACTGAGGTCCCCGTCTTTGCATCAGGGATGATGAGCGTGGGCGGTCTGGTTCGATGCGTCTGCAGAACGAGACCCCCTATCCCCAAGGTTCTTGGCCTTCTAGCGTAGGTCCCCTCCCCAAGGGTTGGGCGCTCTTTTTTGGTCCATCACTCGGGTCGGGCGAAAGGGGGGGATAGCAAAGGGGGGGTTTGAGAATCAGCTCACGTAGCTGATTTTCCCGGCGCCTCCCAGCGCCGGAGGCGGCTATGCATCGAGGAATGGGCCCCTCGGTGGGGTCGAAACCAGCTGCATGCAGCAGCTTTCGTAACCCCCCCTTTCCCAATCCCCCCCTTTCGTCCGGCCCGAATCACGTGGCGCGCATATCGCGCACCGTGGGCGTATGGCGCCGGACGAGGTGGGCCCGGCTGCGAAAACTGCCGCTTTTGCAGCTGGTTTCGGCCCCGCTGCCGGGCGCCTTCCCTCGATTCCTGCGCGCCTCCGGCGCTGGGAGGCGCTCGGACGATTAGCCTGACGTCGGGCATGTTGCTCTACAGGGGGACTATTCAAGAATAGTGACAAAATACGGGGATGATTTTTCGATTTTTTTTGATTATTTTCATTTCTTAGAAAATGATTTTCTTTCAAGATCCGCCTGCAGGAGGATATGCCCGACCTGAGATTCGCCATGCGTGGGCTGACTCGTGAATCCCAGCTTCGGAGGTTTTGGTCGTCGTTCTTCTGTCCTTGGAGGTATCATCAGACGTCCTCACGTCGCGACAGAATCACGCCGAAAGATTTTTGGCCACTTCCGGCTTCTGGGGGCCCTCACAATCACGGGGACCCTTGGCTCGCCTCAAAACGACTGGGGCCACTCGGCCACCTGGCCGGCCGCTGGCCTTCCATCCGGCACGCTCCATCCAACCCAATCAGAGAACCGCACTCCATTGCGACGTTGCTCCAGTTCGTTTTGGCTGGCGCGCTTGGGGGGGAGGGCCCAGGAGATGGGGAGGGCGGCGACGGGCCCGGGGAAAGAGAGGGAGCGGCGACAGCGACGGCGGCGGCGACGGCGACGACGACGACGTCGACAAAGACGAGTCAAACGGGACAGCCTTTTCCACACGCCGACAGGGTCGACGGATCAGTTTTCCTTTTCAGCATGGACGTTTTTGTCCTCGACGTTGCAAATCAAATCGCGGCCAGGGTTGCACGCGGCGCGCATCGTGCGACATGTGTTCATTTCGGGCGCTGCGGGGTCGCGCAAGAGCGGGCGAAACGTTGCTGTCGCCCACGCGTCGTGCAAATTCCGCCTTACAGCAGCGCGCCCGCCTGTGGCCGTCAAGTCGTCGGGTGTCGCGCGCGAACGTGCGACATTTTGTTATCGCCCGAGCGCTGAGTAGAGTAGATGTCGCGTGGAAGTGGCACAGCTACTTCGGCGCGGTGCAAACTCTGTCTTCGCCGCTACCATAAGATATTCGAACTTTCAGACAAATCTGCTCCCGCCTGTGCGCGACTCTGTCCCCCCCCCGCCAAGTTGTCGGAAGCGGGAACGCGCGCGGCGAGCGCCTTCCCGTTCGCTAGGTGGGAACGCTCGCCAGTCCCGATACGCACTTGCGCCAACATTGGTCCCTATCTGAGGGGAGGGAGGGTTGGAGTGGGCCAGGCCCGCTGACTCGTTAGAACTGGCTAGCTTGACTCCCGCTCCCAATCCTAGCTCAATTCCTGCTCCTGCCCTTGCTTCTGCCTCTGCTTCATATCACCCCCTCATCCCCATCTTGCCCGCAGTCCTCCTGCCCCCACCAATTGCTCCCACTCCTGCGCTGCATCTGGCTCCCCAGCCGTTTTCGCCCAATCCGCCAGCTCAGGCCTGCCAGCCGACGCCACCGCCCGCCCGCCAGGCCGCCTGCTCGTGACGAGCCCTCCCCCGCGGCCTCCACGGCAGGGCCGATGTCCGGCACGCAGGGAGCGCAGCAGCGCCCCGCCCCGCCGCCGCTGACGAGCGTGAGCGGCGACCACGCGAGCTCCACGAGCCTGGCAGCGCCCACGGTCTCGCCGCGCCTGTCGTCGGCATCGGGGCCCTCGCCCCGGGTGGCCGCCAGGGCCACCGTCACCTACACGGCCACGGTCACCGTGGAGGCCACCGCGGGCGACGGCGGGGACGGGGAGGACAGCTTCAACTTTGAGGAGGTGGAGGTGACCAGCCCCGCCGCGCCCATGACCGCGACCACTTCGCACCGCTGCTTCCCCGCGTCCCCCGGCGCGCCGGAGCTCTCCCCGTCGGTGGCGCAGGCGCACTCGGACGCCTCCCGGGCGCTCGGCAGCGCGGGGGCGAGGCGCGCGGCCGAGCAGGCGGCCAAGGGCCAGCGCGAGGCCCGCGGGCCTGCGATCATGGCGGCCGCTGCTCGGGGGCGCACGAGGGCGCTGTTCGAGAGCAAGGTCCTCTGCAGCGGCACGCTCCTGGCCTCCCGGGGCGCCGCGGGCGGCGAGCGTGGCCGCGCGGGGCTGCTCGAGGGCCAGTTCGGGGCGGAGTTCCGGCCCCGCTGGTTCGCCATCGTGGCGTTCGACAGGGGCGGCCTCATGGACGCGCGCAAGCGGTTCGAGGTGGTGCTGCTGTGGACAGCGACAGAGAGCAAGTTCGAGCAGCTGCTGGAGCAGATGCAGGAGCTGGGGAACCACGACTGGCGCGAGAGATGAACGTTCGGAGCTCCGCGAAGGGGATCCAGCGCCGATCCAAGCAACAAATCCTCGCGGAGCTCCGAAAGTTTCTGCTCGTGCCGTGTTTGTCCCCAGAGGAGAGCGACGAGGTGCCGAACAGCTACCGCCTGCGCCTGAGCAACGGCAGCTCTGCGTTGCGCCTGCCTCAGGTGCTGGGCAGCCTCGCGCTGCGCTCCGCGAAGAAGGTCATGGAGAGCCGCAGGTTGGACCTGCCAGACAGCCTCTTCTCTGCGATCGAGGTCGTCACCATTGGCAAGAAATACCTCTTGGGCGTCGAGAAGCAGGACGATCTGAGCAGGTGGCTGCACGCTCTTCGGGCATCCCACAGGCGGATGCGCAACCTGAAGACCGTGAGGACTGGCTTGAGCAGAGTGAGAACTGGCAAGACGGACCTGTTCTTGGAGGAGGAGGAGACGGAGTACAACAAATGGACGCAGGAGGTTGGCATGCCGACCCTCTTCCACATCCTGTGGTACGTGCTGGTGCTTTTCACCATCGTTTGGATCTGCTCGCTCATCTGGCTCTTCAACCCATACCTGGCGCCGTGCCGGCACAAGGAGGCAACCTACGCCGTGGAGGCCTCAGGGCAATGCTTTGAGGTTGCCAGCGGTGCTCTCGTGGAAGGCTGCCTCAGCTGGCGCAGCCAGGCCGCCGCCATGGGCTCCTGGCGGTCATGGGTATCGGACCTGCAGTCGATTGGCCTCTTCGACAGAGATCTTACGATCGAAGGCGAGAGCCAGACGTGTTTCGAGGCGGTCGGAGGCTGGAAGCTCTTCTGGTTCTGGGGCTTCGTGGTCGTGGAGATCATCGGCAAGGCCTTCGCTTTGGGCTTCTCTCAGCTTAACTGGAAGGTCGTTGTGCGCGGGGCGCAGACGATGGATGAGATGGAGCCCGCGTTTCCCGAGAGGGCTTGGCCGGATGTTGATATTCTTTTGTGCCACTACTCGGAGCCCGCCGAGGAGACGATGGAGACGTTCGCGAAGATGCTGGAGATGGACTATCCAGCGTCGAAACTGCACATCTACATCTGCGACGACGGTTACTTCAAGTCCGACTTCAGAGAGGTGGGCGAGAAACCAGGTGCCAATTGGCCAGAGCCACAGAACAACCACCAGCTGATCCAGCTGACCGGGGACGTACGGCAGCTCACGGAGGATCTGATGGCCGAGTACGCGGCCAGGAGCGACCCAGACGGCGTGGCCAGCATGGCGAGCGACCGCATGCACTCCATCCAGCCGCCTGCGGCAAGTCCAGCCACAGTGCCAGCCCAGCGCTCGGGTGGCGACTGCTCGAGGAGCGCACGGAAAGCCGTAACGTGCGACACCTCGCATCCCGAGCCTTCGGAGAGCCAACGAATATGACACGCTCTTCCGCGTCCTGTCGGTGTGTGTGTGTGTGTGTGTGTGTGTGTGTCTGTCTGTCTGTCTGTCTGTCTGTCTGTCTGTCTGTCTGTCTGTCTGTCTGTCTGTCCGTCCGTCCGTCCGTCCGTCCGTCCGTCCGTCCGTCCGTCCGTCCGTCCGTCCGTCCGTCCGTCCGTCCGTGCGTCTGTCTTTCTCTCTCTCTCTCTCTCTCTCTTTCTCTCGCTCTCTCGTCGCGTTCGCCGTCGTCGTCGTCTTCTTTCCTTTCTCTTCTTCCCTCCTCTCTGGGGCCTCCTGGGGACGTCTTGGAGGCCTCTTGGAGACCTGGGTGCGTCTTGGGGGCATCTCAGGACCTCTGGGGGACTCCATGGGCTCTCTTAGGGCACTCTTCGGCACTCTGGCACCGTCGGGGTCAGTCCTGGGGGCCTCTCTGGACACTCTTGGGACCCTCTTTGGGGTCTATTGGATTGTCTTGTTCAATCTTGAGAGCCTTTCGGGCCGTCTTGGGGCCTTCTTGGGGGCCTCTTTGGCCGTCTTGGGGCCATTGTCGCGGCTTCTTGGTCCCTTTGGGTTGGCAGAGCCCGAAAAGGCGAGAACGCGAACCTCAGTCAAAACCCGACAACGACCAGTGAACTCGACGTCTTCGGCCCCCCCCGGCGGCCTTCGGAACCCGCTTGAGCCGTACTGTGGGCCGCTTGGGCGATCTTGAGGCCATCTTTGGGCCATTTTTGGTCCTCCTCCTCCTCCTCCTCTTTGTCCTCCTCCTCCTCCTCCTCCTCCTCCTCCTCCTCCTCCTTCGGGCAATCCTGAGCCGTCTTGGAGGCATCTTGGCCCATCTTGGCAACCTCGGCAGACTGGCTGGGCAGCGTCGGAAGCCACCTTGCGCCCTCCAGACGCATCGGAGAGCTCCAGGGAGGCGCCGGGGGCCGCTAGGAGGCCTCTGGCGGGGGGGGCGGATCACGCAGCGAAGCGTGGTGCGCACAGTGGAGGCCCGTGCAGGCGCCCTGGTGATAGTTTTTCCCAACCATCCTGTGGTGTTGGGTCTTCCTTTTGAAGAGACGGTCCCCGCGTTCCCTCCTTCCTTCCTCCGTCCTCACCCTCCCCCCTCCTCCCTCCTTCCTGCGTTTCACCCACCCAGTACAACGCTTTGTGGCCACATCGAGAGCTCCACCGACGCCCCCAGTGGGACCGCCCGCATGGTCCCAGTAACCCAATGTGGCATTTTCGCTCACCCAGTACAACGTTTCGTGGCCCCCTAGGGAGCTCCACCCGAAACCTCCAATGGGACCGCCCGCATGCGTCCCCGAAGCCCACTTTGGCATTTTCACCCACTCAGTACAGCGTTTCGTGGCCCCATAGGGAGCTCCTCCGAAGCCCCCAGTGGGACCGCCCGCTTGCGTCCTGGAAACCCAATTTGGCATTTCCACAAACCCAATGCAGCGTTTCGTGGCCCCATAGGGAGCTCCACGCGAAACCTCCAGTGGGACCGCCCGCATGCGTCCCGGAAGCCCAATGTGGCATTTTCACCTACCCGGTGAACCGCTTCGTGGCTCCATAGGGGGCCCCACCGAAACTCCCAATGGGACCGCCCGCATGCGTCCCAGAAGCCCAATGTGGCATTTTCACCCACCCAGTACAACGTTTCGTGGCTTCGTAGAGAACTCCACCCGAAACCTCCAGTGGGACCGCCCGCGTGCGTCCCAGTAACCCAATGTGGCATTTTCGCTCACCCAGTACAACGTTTCGTGGCCCCGTAGGGAGCTCCACCCGAAACCTCCAGTGGGACCGCCCGCATGCGTCCCCGAAGCCCAATTTGGCACTTTCACCCGCTCAGTACAGCGTTTCGTGGCCCCATAGGGAGCTCCTCCGAAGCCCCCAGTGGGACTGCCCGCTTACGTCCCGGAAACCCAATTTGGCATTTCCACAAACCCAATGCAGCGTCTCGTGGCCCCATAGGGAGCTCCACGCGAAACCTCCAGTGGGACCGCCTGTATGCGCCCCGGAAGCCCAATGTGGCATTTTCACCTACCTGGCAAACCGTTTCGTGGCTCCATAGGGAGCCCCACCGAAACTCCCAATGGGACCGCACGCATGCGTCCCAGAAGCCCAATGTGGCATTTTCACCCACCCAGTACAACGTTTAGTGGCTTCGTAGAAAACTCCACCCGAAACCTCCAGTGCGACCGCCTGTATGCGTCCCAGAAGCCCAATTTGGCATTTTCGCCCACCCAATATCGAGTTTCGTGGCCCCGTAGGGAGCTCTTCCGAACTCCCCAGTGGGACCGCCCGCATGCGTCCCGGAAACCAAACTTGGCATTTTCACTAACCAAGTACAGCGTTTCGTGGCCCCATAGGGAGCTCCTCCGAAGACCCCAGTGGGACCGCCCGCATGCGCCTCACACACCCAATTTGGCACACCCCATGCAGCGTTGCGTGGCCGCGTAGGGAGTTCCACCGAAGGCCCCAGTGCCACCGCCCACATGCGTTCTCCACACCCATGTCGACACACCCCTCACACGCTTCGTGGCCCCGTAGGGAGCTCCACCGAAGGCCCCAGTGCCACCGCCCGCATGCGTCCCTCAAACCCAGTTTGGGAACACCCCTCACAGGCTAGGCTCCAGTGGGACCGCCCGCATGCGTCCCCCCCACCCAGTGCAGCGTTTCGTGACCCCATAGGGAGCCCCACCGACAGCCCCAGCGCTACCGCCCGCATGCGTCCACCCCAGTGCAGCGCTTCGTGGCCCCATAGGGATCTCCACCGGAAGCCCCAGCGCTACCGCCCGCATGCGTCCCCCCCACCCAGTGTAGCGCTTCGTGGCCCCATAGGGAGCCCCACCGAAGGTCCCAGTGCTACCGCCCGCATGCGTCCCCCCACCCAGTACAGCGCTTCATGGCCCCGTCGGGAGCGCCACCGACAGCCCCAGCGCTACCGCCCGCATGCGTCCCTCCCACCCTGTACAGCGCTTCGTGGCCCCATACGGAGCTCCAACGACGGCCCCAGTGGGACCGCCCGCATGCGCACCCCCCCCACCCAGCGTTTCGTGGCCCCATAGGGAGCTTCACCGAAGGTCTCAGCGCTACCGCCCGCATGCGTCCCCCCCACCCAGTACAGCGTTTCGTGGCCCCATAGGGCGCTTCACCGAGGAAGATATTCACAATCGCAGTACCCACAACTGCACGTGGTTGGGTCCTCTGCCAGGATAAGTTTATTAATTTTGCCGATCGTCGCGGGCCCCCTCCCCCCCTTCCGCCCCCCATGGGGTAGATTTTGTGTGTTTTGAGCGCCTGTTTTGAGCAGGTGGAGTCTCCCCTCGTAGGACTTTGCAAACAGTCGCACTCAGCCGAGGTCCAGAGCCAGACCCCCCCCTTCCGACCAATGTCGAAACGCCGAATTAAAAAACAACCCTCCTTGGGTTTCGACGGTTTTGCTGTGGAAAACGTGACGTGCCCACACCAAAAAGCAACGGACTTCCTGGGGTCTCGGGGTTGGGTTTCTTGTGGAAGGTCTTTCTTGTTGACTGGCCTCCACTGTAGGGAGGGAGGAGGGCCTCAAGAGATTGCAGAAGACCTACCAGGCAGCACTTGGCACGCTAACGCGCCCAACTCGTGCAGGCACGGTGGCGGATCACCACGGATGGCAACGGCCAGCGTCAGGCGCTCAAGTACAAGAAGACGGACGAGGTACTGCCTGAACCTTCGGACGCTGAGCGACGTGTTCCACGGACGGACTGCGCTGTGGGCTACGTCAAGGACACCTACTCCATCCCGGGCATGCCCCGAGTGAGTTACGTCGCGCGGCTGAAACCGCGGGTGCACCACGCCAAGGCCGGAAACATCAACAACGCCCTCTACAACGTGGGCGCCCGGGGGCAGTACGCCGCCATCTTCGACAACGACATGCAGCCACACCCGATGTTCCTCACCGCCACGCTGCCGCTCTTCTTCGAGGAGCGGGAAGAGGAGGACGCCGAGTGCCCTTACACAGATGACCCCGACGCCAACGGGGTGGCGTATGTGCAGACGCCACAGTACTTCAGGCCCACCTGGCTCATGTCGGAGCGCGGCGATCCTCTCTCGCACGCCAATGCCGCCTTCTTCGACTCGGGGCTGCTCGGCATGGACGGCTATGACTCTGCCATGTTCGTGGGCACAAACTGCGTCTGGCGGCGCGAGGCGCTGGACTCGGTGGGCGGGGTCCAGTACGGCACTGTCTCGGAGGACTACTGGACAGGCTACACCGCGCAAGCCAAGGGCTGGAGCTCCGAGGAGGTAAAGGTACCGATGCCCCTACCTTCGGCTCGTTTTCGCCTTCTTGGGCCTCCTGGGAGGCCCTCGACGCCACCGCTGGGCTCGCATCGAAGTTGTGGTCAGGACGCATCCCGGGAGAAGTCCCGGGAGCAGCGCTGTTGGTACGTTTTGGTCTCCCCAGGAACGCCGCCTACATGCGCAAGGACCGCCAGGGCCCCAAGGAGCACAGGTTCCGGCTCTCCGAGGGCAAGGTGCCCGAGAGCGTGGCGGCATCGATGGCCCAGCGCAAGCGCTGGCACAAGGGCTCCGTGCAGCTCTTCCTGGGAGCAGCCTACACGAAGGACCCCGAGTGGGTCCCCCCGCCCGCGCGCACACCCGAGCGCCCTGTGCCGGGCCGCGTGCGACGCTACCGCCAGGCGCATTACGCCCTGCTCCGCCTGGCGTGGCTCAACGTGTTCCCGCCGCTGTTCTACACCGCACTCGTCATCGGCAGCCTCTGGAGCAACACGCTGTGGCTCTACCTGAACCCCCTGGCATCCTACGTCATCATGATACCCTTCATGCTGCTGGCCAGCTTCGTGCCTAGCCTGGGCGACATCACGGTTCCGACAGAGCAGATCATGTCGAGCCTGCCAGAGTACTTCACGTATGCACCCGTGCGGCTGGTGAGCACGTTGGAGGTATTCTACTGCAAGATCTCCGGGAGGGTCGCGGACTGGGGCAATACTGGCGGCATCAAGAGGGGCTCCTGGAACGAAGTTCCGATCCTGCTCTTTGTGGTGGCAATATCTGTGGGCCTCGTGCGATCCGTGGTCTACTTCTTCTTCTTCGAGGAAGAGTCTGTGCTGTCCGAGGTCATGCCGATCTGGGCCTTCGCTTGCTACCTGCTTCTCGTCTACTGGAACACGGCGCGCGTCAGCATCCAGGAGTGCCTCGAGTGGGGGTACGATTCGCTCTGTGGGGCCCTGGTCGCCCACTGGCTCCTGGTTCCGGGCATCATGGCTGCTACTGTTTTGATCCAGTGGAAGGAAACGAACGATTGGAAGTGCAGTTGATCCAGTGGAAGGAAACGAACGATTGGAAGTGCGGTTGAGCGGAGTTGGCATCTGAGGCACGATTCCGGATTGCAGGTGAACATATTGCAGGTGAACAGAAAGCGCGCACCGCTGCACACCGGGGCAACTTCCTGCCTAGACCGTATTCCTCTTGCCTCCACACGTGCCGAATGGTTTATCTCTTCTGGCACCGCTCTGTGTGCTTTATAACTTTCGAGTCTCAGAAATGCTTCTCTCCCTCTTTACCTGTCCCGTGCAACGATGCGCGATGACCCATAATCTAAAACATCCCTCAGCCCTCTCCATACGTGCTAGGGTAAAACACAATTGTGCTCTAGACCGGGCTGTGATAGCCGTCGAATTCAGTCAACTTCTTTGACCGCGACGTTCAGGGTTGGTGATCGTAGTACGCCGAGCCTGAGCACTCCTCCTCCTCCTCCTCCTCCTCCTCCTCCTCCTCCTCCTCCTCCGTATCAGCCCTCTCCTTCTCCTTCCTCTCGTTCACGGGCCCTGCGCGTAGCGACAGAGACCATGATCGAAGATGCCTACGGCGAGTCATTTCCACCCCCTGCCTCTGGACGCGCATGTGTCGTGCAATGTCGAGCGAAAGCGCGACAGCGCTAGTGGACTGCACTTTCCCGCCAGTTTTAGGCTTTGGGGATACCGCTGGGGGCCGTCTTGGGGCCCTTCGATGCTGTCTTGTGGCTCCCTTGGACCGTCGTAGGGCTCCTTGGGGGGCATTTCGGGCCGTCTTGGGGCGATACTGGGTTGTCTTGAACGCTCTTAAGAGAGAATCCGGCAGTCGCTGAATAATCGAATTCTTTCCTATTGAGGCCTTCCTGTGGTGTCTGGGTCTTCGTGATCTTTGGGGCCTCTTGGACCGTTTCGAGGCCATCTTGGGGTCATCTTGGGTCCTCGTGGAGGCATCATGAGCATAGTTGGAGGCCATCTTGCACACGTTGGGTAGACTTGATGGCGAGACGGCCTCTCTTGGACGCCCTATCGCAGCCATCTTGGACGCAATAGCCACGGGTTGTACATTTTACGGTCCTTTCCCGAAGGCCAGCGGGTCGTGCCGAAGACCACCAGAAACTTTTTGGAAGGGCCGACAAGGGCTTAAAAGCCTGGCCGGTCAAGCACTCCTCTGACAGGCTACGGTGGCGGCGGATCCCCTGGCCTTTGGCCTATATTGCCACCTTGCCGGGGTCGTGGATCGCCGGCCTCTTGGAGGCCTCTTGTGCGGCGTCCTGGGGACCTCTCAGGAGCCTCTCGGGCGCCTCTTGGGAACCTCTTAGACGCGTCAAGGGGGCCTCCGTCCCTCCTTGCTGTTCTCGATGTTCCTCGGGCTCCTCGCGGTCGTTGTGGCGCTCGCGGCGGTGTTCTGGCTTATCGCGGTCGTCTTCGTGGCGCTCGTGGAGGTGTCCCAGGGTGTAGGGGAGAACTTGGTGAGGTCAAAAAACAAATCTTGGGGGTTTGCTGACCGTCTTGGGGGCCATCTTTGGAGGAAGATTCCCTTGGGCCTGGTTCGAGTTTCCCTTCTTTGGGACTCTCTTGGGGCCTCCTTGGGGGCCGTGTTGGGCTGGTCTTGGGGGTATTACGGCCCATTTTGGGCGCTCACACGACCGAAAAGGCGAGCATCCGAAATCCATGCGAAGCTATATATTTGGTCTCGCAGTCCGGCCCCCAGGGCTTCCGCAACGGCAAGAGAGGCCCCGAAGAGGGTGCCAGGGCGGGGGCGCCTGGGGCCATCGTAAGGCACGACGGATCTTTGGATTCCCAGTCAGGCTTCCCAGGTCTCTGAATACAGTCGGGGCGCTGAAGAAGGAAATCTATTCGTTCGAGAGGGGCTCCGTGTTCCTTGATCGTTTCGCAGCTTGCCTTAGGTAGCCCCCAGGTTTTCGATGGGAAATCGAAGTTTAACATCGGAAAAATGGGCCTCGTTTCTTATTCAGGGTTCCTCAGGACAACGTCCCGACTGTAGGTCCGGCGGGGCACCTGGGAGCGCCCGAGAGCGCCCGTGAGCTGAGGGTCTAGGGCATTGGAGCCAGGGAAGAAAAAAACCGCCCCGACCCGATACTTGGCATTTACTCAACGGCCCTGGGCGTGTCTTAAGCAGCCTTGCCCTGTTCGATTCCTTCTTTGGGTGCGTTTGCTAAACAGCCTCGCTTGTCGGGGTGGTTCGCATGGGGGTGTTTTTTTGCCTTCGGTTGGACGGGTTGAAATCATGTGCACCGTTCAAGAAAATTGGAGACCTGAAGGCACTCCACTGAGTGCCCACGGCACGGAGGCGGATCATTTACCATTTGGCTCTATGGCCGGATGCAGTGCCCAAAGCGGCTCTTGGTACAGCCAGCCGAGGCGGTAGCCGCCAACAGTTCTTGGTAAAATGAGTGCCAGCCTCCACTCCCGCTCCGATCATCCCTCCTCGCTGTTCTCCCCCCCTTCCTCCTCCTCGTCCTCATCCTCGTCCTCGTCCTTTCCTTCTCCTCCTCCTCCTTCTCCTCCTCCTGCTCCTCTTCCTCCTCCTCCTCCTCCTCCTCCTCCTCCTTCTCCTCCTCCTTATCGCATTTCGAGGCGTGTCGAGAGGGCGGGCTGGGCGTTCCGCCTGAGACCTGCCTAACATGTCTGATCCAGAATCGTAAGTTCGGCAAGACCTTCACGGATGGAGGACGGGCGGTTATCTAAATGTGGCTGTCGCCTCAGTGCCGCGCACATTCGTTCAACAGTTTGCGGAGGCTTCACGGACGGAGGGTGGCCCGTCTGTGCATGTGGCTCTCGCTTTAGCGCCGCGCACATTCTTTTAAAACATTTGCGAGAGTTTTGGTTTTGGTGGGCGGGCCGTTTTCAAACTGTGGATCTCGTCTCAGCGCCGTGCGCATTCGTTTTCAACGTTTGGAGAGTTTTCAAGGATGGAGGGGGGACCGTTTTCAAAATGTGGCTCTCGCTCCAGCGTTGTGCGCATTCTTTCTAATAGTTTACAGGAGTTTCACTGATGGAGGGCGGTTCCTTTCAACATGTGGTTCTCGCCTTCGCGCCGCGCACGTGCGTTCGAAAAGGTTTGCAACAGGTTGAAGGAGATTTATCGTACGTCCCAGGACGGATCTCCCGGCACGAGTACGGGTTGTCAGGGCGTAGCAATCACGTCGGCTCGCGGTTTTAAGCTCCCAGGAACTGTGTTCTGGTGCGGTCCAGGATCGTCAGGACGCAACAGTAATAATGATTCGCGGTGTTGCAATCCCAGGAATGGTGCTCTGGCACGATTGAGGATTCTCAAACGGTTGTCTTCCCACGGGGCATCTCCCGCAGTGAGAATACGTTATTGCAGGGACCTGTGGACAAGGAACTTGGGGGGGAGGGTTTACTGCAGCATCGTTGATGAGTCTGGGGCTTGCATCATATCTGATCATACAAGGAGGACAAGCAGACACAACCCGAATGGGACGAGAGACTGGCACATAATGCGGCAGATGGCGCAAGACGT